TCCTGCTCTGTGCCCAGGCAACCATTCAACCGCTAATTTGCTTTCTGTCCCCATAGATTGGTTTGCATTGTCTAGAATTTTATAGAAGTGGAATGATGCCCTGTGTACTCTTTCGGTTCTGGCTTCTTCTTCTTTCTCCTTTTTTTTTTTTTTAAGTTTATTTATTTTGAGAAAGAGAGGGTGAGCAGGGGGCAGAGAGAGAGGGAGAGAGAGACAGAATCCCAAGCAGGCTCCACGCTGTGAGCACAGAGCCCGATGTGGGGCTCGAACCCACGCACCGTGAGATCATGACCTGAGCCGAAATCAAGAGTCGGTCGCTTAACTGAGCCCCCCCCCCCCCCCAGGCGCCCTGGTCCTGGCTTCTTTCACTCAGCATAATAAGACTTTCGAGATTCAGCCACCTCACTGCAAGTATCAGTGTCTAATTCCTTTTTACGGTTGAGTAGTATTCCATTGCGTGCACCTTCCACAATTCGTTTTACCCATTCAACTAGAAAGCCCAATCCAAAAAAAAGGGAGGTGTTTAATTTCTCAAATCCTCCTGAAAGTAGAATAAGGAAGAGGAGAGGAAGCAAAGGGAAAAGGAGCACACTTCTCCGAGCCCGTCCCTCCTCAGGATGTTTGCGACTGCTCTCTCCTCGGCCCAGAATGCTCGTGTCCCCAGATCGTGGCATGGCGGACCCCTTCCCCTCATTCCTGACTCGGTGTGAAGGTCACTTCCTCGGAGGCCTTCCTGACCCCCACCTCTCCCTCCCTGTCCTGCCACCCAAGTCACTCTTCATCGTGCTACGCGGCGTTAGATTCTCCAAAATGCTTCCCAGTCTTGGATTTGATCCAACCTATCTTTTTTTTTTTAATGTCTATCCCCTTCCAGAACGTGGACTCCGGAACACCAGAGACCTTCCCCATCTGTTTTCAGAGTTTGTTTATTTATTTGTTTACCTTAATTTTTGTAAGTTTATTTTTGAGAGCGACAGAGAGAAAGAGACAGTGAGCAGGGGAGGGGCAGAGAGAGAGGGAGAGAGAGAGACTCCCAAGCAGGCTCTGCACCGTCAGCGCAGAGCCCGACGCGGGGCTCGAACTCACGCTGCCTCGAGATCATGACCTGAGCCGAAAACCAAAAGTTGGACGCTTAACTGACTGAACCACCCAGGCGCTCCTATTCCTTTTATTCCTTTATTTTTTAATGTTTATTTATTTTGTTGAGAGAGAGAAAGAGAGAGAGAGGGAACGTGCGCGAGAGGGGGAGGGGCAGGGAGGTGGACAGAGGGTCCAAATGTCTCTGCGCTGACAGCAGTGAGCCCAATGCGAGGCTCGAACCCACCAACCGGGAGATCGTGACCTGAGCCAAAGTGGGTCGCTTAACCAACTGAGCCACCCAGGCGCCCCTGGTTTATTTATTTATCTTCAGAGAGAGAGGGCATGAGCAGGGTAGGGGCAGAGAGACAGGGGAGAGAGAGAATCCTCTCTCTCCGGGCTGCAGTGCCTGACTCAGTGCTCAAACTCACAATCCGTGAGATCGTGACCTGAACCGAAATCAAGAGTCGGACGCCTAACTGACTGAGCCACCCAGGCGCCCCAACCTTCTCTTGTCTTTCCACAAGTCTATCCTTCATGCCTAAAGTACTAAGCGGCATAGGCAGGTGCCCAATAACGTTGGTTCACTGAATGAGTGAATCAGTGAATTGATGGGAAGGTTGAGTTGTGCTTTTGTAACGTTTTAAGGCCTTTCTCGTTTCGAAAAATCTCAGAACTCCTTGATACAGCAGTGACTTTTGGGAGGCCACCCACCAATGCTGGGAGCTACTCATAGATCAACTCAGAGGCCTGGAGGAGAACGGAAGGAGCAGCCGAGACATGGAGACCCATTTAATGCTCCGGCGAGAAACCTAGCCTGGGCTATCCCCACCGCACTTGCTGGCTCTAACTCTCCTACAAATCATCCGAAATGCTAAATCATGTTGAAACCCCTCTGACGGTGACCACCGGGAACTATGAAGGACACTCACGCATAATTTACATACTGCCAAGCTCCTAAGAGCCTCTAAATAAAGCCCCTGAGGGCCCCCGGGCACTATTTTTGAGGAGAAGGACATCCAGTGACAGATTAAATCGAGTCTGTTCCTTCAACACCAGAGAAAAAAGAAACCTCGCCGTCCCCCCGCGCTGACATCTGCGAATGTCTTAAGCTGCCTTTGCTGTCAGACGCTTCCCGAAGAAGCCGCGATTCCCCGGAAAACGTACACATGGGTTACGGTCTCCCATTTTACAGAAGGCGCCGCCACCACTCACGGGTATTTTTTGCTCAGACTTTCGTTCTTGCTCTACATCTTAACCGTACAAAGTGTTTTCATCGCGAGGCAGAGGGGAGGGGAGTTCACAAGAGCGCTTTGCGTTCCGACGGTAAATGTGAAATTACCTTTGATCACAACAGGGTTCTCATACTGATAACGAGGTGGGGGCCGCAGCCGTAGAGGGTCGGCATCCAGACCCAAAAGACACACACCTGGCGGGGAAGGACGACAGGGTCAGGCCGATAGGAGGATTTCCCGCCCCGACCATGAGCTTTGGCTACAGAATGCTCTGTCATTACAACCATGCTCAATTTTTATAATCCGACAAAAAACGGAAAGCTAGAAAAGCCAGCAACACGAGGCCTGAGTCAACACTGCGCACGGTTTATACCTTGCAAGGGGCCCAAAGAGAAACAGCACCTGTTTTATTGTTTTGTTTTGTTTTGTGCCCGATTCAGAGGAGTCCACACAATCAAAACACAAATGTGGGAGCCAAATAAAACAACGCAGTGAAGACAGGCAGGGACCTAAGCGACAGGCCGCATGCATGTCACTAGTGCTCAGGAACCTTCCAGAAGCAGGCGGATGATCTGTCCCTGGCCCACATGAACAATTCAGCTTGGGCTCATGCACAACCTGCTCTAGTTTCAACTTTCGGTATTAGTTGCGAAATGGGAGACATGCCCTGAAACCCAGCACTGTTTTTACCCTTGCTCCTATGCCGTTCCATTGCCCTCCCCAACACTGAGCCAGGCAATAACACCCTCCCCGGAAACAAACACTCTGACTAACTGCCCTTAAGCAAGGGAGGGATTAACAATGTTTCTGTGGTCTCCCCCATGCCTGGCATGTTACCCTGCCGAGTAAATGAATAAAGGAATAGATGGGTGGATGGGTGAACGGGGAATGATCTTTTAACCATCCCGTAGCATCCGATCCTAACAACGTGTAGGGGAATAACAATAATAGTTAACGCTTATATTTATGCTAATTATATGCCAGCCACTATTCTAAATTCCTCATACATATTAACTCTTTTAACCCTCAAGAGCTCTATGAAATAAGGACTATTATTATCTCCATTAAACAGATGAAGAAACTGCTGGAGGTATTTGGAGGTCGCGCGGCTCAAAGCAGGCAGAGCTGACTCCTTGCTGGATGCTTTGAATGAGGCACCGTGCTTCCTCTCCATCAGCTACATTTGATGAAGCAGGAGACAGGAGGGTCGTGATCCTCCCTGGACCAAGCATACATACCCACTGTGTCCTCAGGACACGGTTAAATGGCAGCCAGGATGTGAACCCCACCAGCCTGACTCCGATGCCCAGGTAGGCCGTGTGAATAAAGCCGGCCAGGGGCAGTTACTGGAGATCAAGCAGTTAAGACACTGTCGAGGAGCCTGGGATAAAAGGCCAGTTTTCTTAGCGCTGTTCTCCCAAACTGGAGGTGCTGTGGGGTCCAGGAAAGAAAGAGAAAATAAAAACAAATCTGGAAAGTGGAGGCTGCCCCCCGACTCTCCCGAAACCATTTTGTTTGGGTTGGAGAAGGAGAGGCTCGCTGGCGTCTTCCCGTCTTCAGTCCCTGGGCGAAAGGCCACAGCAAGACCTAAGCAAAGGTTACGTCCATTCCGGCCTGAGCACAGTTCTGAGCAGGGCTGCTCAGGGACTGGAGTTTAGTACAAAACAGGTCAGAGAGTCTGGGGTGGGGAGGGGACGCTCAGGATGAAAGAGTGGAGGCCAGGCCAGAAAGAGAAATGACAGTGCAATCATTAAGAAACTTCACTGAGCTGGAAAAGGGGAGAGAAGAGGAGGTGGGTGGGCTATCCATCGCCCCCCCCTTTTTACTCATCACACATAGGGAGCCAGAAAGGATGCAGGTGTTAGCAGCGCGATGGAATTGAAGTTGCTTGTGGGCATGGGGTGGGGGGTGGGGGGGGGGAGTCAAAACGCTGACAAGCAGCGCCCTCCAAGCAGAAGCACGTCTCTCCCTCACGGAGTAGAGAGAAAGCCAGAGAAATATCTCCCCATGAAAGTCAGAGCGCAGCTGAGATCCGTAGGGTTTGTAAATTCCCAATAATGTCAGAGACAGGCCTGGCTCACAAGGCTGCTGGGCAGACAAGAGCCAGGACCCCAGGACAGTCCTGAAACCAGAGTTGGCCATTCGGATTTCTACCAAACAGAAACCAAAAGGTGCCTTGCCCCCCCCCCACCCCCCATAAACGCTGACCATCCCCAGGCACATGAGCTTTTTTGTAAAATCAAATGCACATCTCTTTGGAAATTGTTGATCTATTCTTGAAAGGGGCACATTGTGCTACAGAAAGTGGCAGCAGATAATTTTTTTTCTTTAAGTTTGTTATGGGAGATTGGCTAAATTAGTTTATCTAGGAGTTCCCATTGGGACTTCTTTTGAGAGGATCTCCTGTATGAAGGAAAATGAGTTTCCTGGCAGACCCCCATCACACCCCCCAAAAGCACAGAGTCAAGGGCTCCACAGATCTCACACCTATTCCCAGCAGATGACACAAGATCTCACCATTTTTCACTGGATCCAAAGGTCCTACGACCTCTAGGTTCCAGGAATTAGCTACACTCTATTCATTGCAGGAGGATGATTTTTTTTTTTTCACTTTGAGAAAACCTCAATGGGATTTTAACCGAAGGGAAGCAAAGGTTTTCTTTTTATAAATTCGATTAGTCTTTCCCACTTTCTGTACCTCGAGACATTTCCTTTGGGAAGAATTTTATACCCAGAGACCCCCTTAGCGAGGCACTGTTGCATGCGGGGGCGCGGTGAATTTCAGCGCAAGACGCTGCATGTGGACGGAAAGCAAAAACCGCGGGCACTTGCAGTCGCCAGCAAAGTCAGTTTGTGAATGCTGCCGTGGGGATGGCCCTGCCAGAGAAGGAAGATGAAGTTTGCCGCGGGCAGGCTGAGTGGGACCTCTGGCTGGGATGCGTGCGGGTGGTTACCAAGCCCGCCCTTCGCTCGCCACGGCTGACTTTCCCGCCGGAGCCGGCGCCGGGGCGCCTGGTCCCCGCGCTGCACCCGGCGCCGGTCTGGAGATAGCCCTTGGCTGTGGGCGGCGGGAGTCCTCCTGAAAGTGCGCCTTTTCGCCGCCGGGACTTAGCTGCTGGGGAGCGAGCGCGCCGAGTGCGCACTGCGTCGATCGACTCCGCCCGGGCCGGGGGTACCCACCCGAGCCTGCTCCCCGAGGCCTCGGGTTCGAAGCCTCTCCCGTGGCGGAGGAGAGGTTGGGATTTGAGCAGCAGCCGTTCGGTTAAGGAAGGAGTTTCTGAAACTCTCGGGAAAGCGAAGTCCCGGGGCGTGGAAAATAATCGAGCCGACGGTGGGTTTTCCAAACTTGATCTTTGCTCTGGGACATTTTTTCTGCCCTCTCCCCCAGTGCCCTAGCCCCCACCCGGGGCAAGAGTTCTAAGGGCTAGGGTAACTAACTTCATCAGTCCTTTCTCTCTCTGCCCACCGCCCCCCAAAACTTTCAGACCAGAAAAATACAAATAACCCCTAGGAGTGGTTCCTGCGGGCGCGTTCAGGCGTCCCCATCCCAACCAACACCCACACCACCACCACCACCACCACCACCACCACCACTCCGTCCCTCCCACCTCCTGGTAGAGGAGGGACTGGGAACCTGATCTCCGGGCTCCTGCCCCAAACGTTTCCCCATCAATAATGCTGATACCATCGATGTGCCTCCACCCCCGCCCCCCGAGCACCGCCGCCGTCTTTTCGCCGCTTTTTGCTTGACAGAAGAAAACGAAACCTCCCGTAGTGCCCTCCTACCCTTGGCCAGGGGCCCGCGGGGACTGGGGCCTGGGGCAGAGCAAGCAGGGGCACCCGTAGGGCGAGGGGAGAGGGGGGCGTCCTTCAGTTCTGGGGTGCTCAACCAGCGCCGGCGGAAAGAGAAGGAGGGTCCCGGGCGCAGGCCAGGCCTCATTCCAGGCTCCATCCCAAACCTGGGGTCAGACTGGGCCGGCATAAGATATATTTTTGCGAGTGGGAGAACCAGGCCTCGGAAAGGGGAGGCTCGACACCCTCTCCCCTGCCCAGGATCGGGATGACGCGGGGGCGGTGCGGCGAAACCCCTTATTTGGGGACTCAGCGGTGGCCCGTGGCCTTGGGGCACAGTCCTTCGGTCCGCCAACCCACCAAGGCGTTCTAGGTCTTGGGAAAACCGAGGAGACGCATTAGTAGAAACATGGCCATCGAGCCCCCAAAACGTGAGTTCGCCCACCTCGCCGAGCGCCTCCCCCGGGTGCGGTTCTTGTTGGCCCACGAGGTCACGACCCTGGCGCAGCAGCAGCCACACTTCGGGCCACCCCCCATTCCCTAGCGTGGATCAGCCCCTGAGTGCTAAGTCCTCTGGTGGAAAGGGCAAGTCCGAGCCCCGTCGGCCCGATTCGCCCAGCAGCTGCCCCACCTTAGGCTGGGGCGGCGCGACCCCCTATACAGCGCGCAGGTCACTAGGGTGAGCAAGGCGTGGGGACAGGCTCCAGCTGTGGCACCTCACTTGCACTCGCTGCCTTCTCTCGACCGGCTCAAAAATAAAAATCAACCCCCACTCTGTCTCCGTTTTCATTAATTTAATTATTTCTTTGCCTCGCGGCACGCGAAGCTTCACCCGCGCCCTGACATCGCAGCGCCCGCGTCAGCGAACCACGGAACTTGGGCCCCAGACAATGGCCCGTAATTGATGTATTGCCATCAACAATAAAGACCAATTCTCTCCCCGCCATCCCGACCATCCCCCCTCCCCCCCTTCCCCCCCCCCTCCACCTCCCCTCTCAGCTCTCCCGGCCACAGAGGGAAAGAAAACAAACAAGAAATTAGCGGGGGACGCTGCGCACAGAGCGAGACGCCCGCCTCTACGCCGTCGAGGACGCAAAAGAACGAAAAAAGTTATTAAAGTTTGGATCCCCCCAATTAATTCGTCTCTGCTCGCCCATTTTTAATTAAACATCGCGAAGCTGCTTTGGCGTGCGCGTTTCCTTTGGTTGTTTGTTTTGGTGTTGGGGGGGGGGGAAGGCTCCCCCCCCCCCCTTAATCTTAAAACACAGAGCAAGTAACGAACACGTGTGAAGCTATTCCGGGAGCTTCCCGTGGCGCACGCGGCGCGCACGGGGAAGTAGGGTTTGCGGGATCGCCAGCTCGGCTCGGTTCCTGGCAGCACGCGGTGACCCGGAGGCCCGGACTTTCAAGAAGCTAAGAGTGTTAGAGACGGATGCGGCGGCTCCAAACGCGGGCATATTCGGAGAAACGAGTGTGCAAGTGCACATGTACGGACACATCAGTGTACCTGGGATACTGAGGGCTGGTGTGTGCGAAGACCCTTGCCGTTTTGCAAGGGTGGGGGGTGCGGGATTTGCACGTGCTCCGGTACACTTTCCCGGGGGTCTGGGGAAAGCGAGCGGCTCGCACCCCAGGAGCACGCAGATCCATCTTTGCCGAGGGATCTCTTTAAATATTCAGTGAGAAATAATGGCATTTGAAGCACCACCTATGGAAACATTATTATCTTCATTCTTCAACATCAGCCCCACTGATAGCTTCGTTTGTCTTTTTATCAAAATCTACTGTAACCAACAGGACCTGGGGAGGAAAGGAGAGCGAGTGGAAAGGGAGTGTAGCCTCTGTGTGTGTGTGTGTGTGTGTGTGTGTGTGTGTGTGTGTGGTGTTTCAGGGACCGAGTGAGGGCAGGAGAGAGGAAAAATAAGAGAAGAGAAAAGGTGAAGAAAGGGCGAACAGGAATAAGAAAGAAGGGAGAAGTTACACCAAGGGGGTGGGGGGAAGGTCGCCACGAGGAAAACAGAAACATTCACATTCACCCGCACACAAAAGATTTAGAATTAAAGAAAAAAAAAAAAAGACCAAAGACCAACGTAACTAAGAGAGAAGAGTCATTTGGGGGAGAGCGGTGAGGGTCCAGAGCACCCGAAACTCCACTCGAAAGATTGGTGCCCACTTCGCGCGAACCGACTGTGGTGCTCTCCGGACTCCAGGGCGCTCTCGAATTGGGGCGTCCTTATGAGCCCTCTCCTCTCCTGATAGCGAGATAGGGCAGGGATTGTGTATCTGCACCCCCCTCCTCCCCCATTACTCAAACGAAGTTTGAGTTTATCCTTCGGGCGCAGGACTTCGGAAACCTGGGAGCGAGGAGACCCTGAGGCGCAAGGGGAAAGAGCTAGGCTGAGCCGAGGACTGAGCCTCAGGTTCGCGGGCGCCCGAGCCCAGCGGAAGGAGTGCGGGACCCGGGTCCCGATTCCGGACCCCGGGGTGCGGGTAGGGAGGCTGCATCCCAGCCTGGGGAGATGGAGCTGGTGCGAAAAGTTTTGGGTGCCGCGCTCGGCAAGTGCCGGAGAGATGGAGACGAGCTTCTGCCGGGCCAGACAGCTACGGACACCCCCGCAACCCACCCCCCCCCACCACCACCACGCGCGCCGCCACCATTCCCGGCTCAGCACGGCCACCTGGTTGCCAGGAGCCTGGGGCGCGGCCCCCTCCCCAGGGTGGAGAGCCTAGGGGTCCTGGGGACAGGCTCTGCCCAAGGCCCGGCCGGCCTGGGCCGCGCCTCCCGAGGCCAGGGGCGGGTTGCAGCGTTCAGGGTAAGCGGCGGCCCCTCCCCTCCCCCCGGCTGGAGCTGAACTCGGATCCCAGGCCGGTCCCTGCTCTCCGCCCGCCCCGGGCTCGGCGGCGCCACCGCCGCCGCCGCCTCCCCGCGGAGTGACGCGCCCTGCAGCCAACCGGGGCAGCCGGGGGGGAGGTCCGGGAGGGGTCCTGGGCGGAGCCGGGCCGCCCCTTATCCCACGGGCTCGGGGCTGCTTCTCCCGAAAACTTCAGCCCTAATTGTCCTGGGAATGTCCGAGGTAGAGAAAGGGAGCGAGGGAGCAACGAGAGGCTGGAGGAACGGGGCCCTCTGAGAAGGAACGGGGTGGCGGGAGAGTTGCCCCTCCCCCCCTCCAAAAGCCCCAAACCCATCACGTTCCCAAACCTTTCCTCGGTCCTCTTCTCCGCGCCCCCGCGAGCCCGCGATCCAGGGGATGGAGAACTCGGGGCGCAGGAGCGCCGAGCCAGGCGGCGAGCGGGAGGGAGGCCGGGCCGCGGGCGGGAGGCGGACCGGCGTGGGGCTGGCTCTTCCCCACTCGCTTATTTTTTTTTTTTTATGGGGTGGGGGTGGGCTGTTTTCTGGTAGCTCTTAAAGAAACGAAGAAACACTCACGAAACGGGACTTCCTCCCCCCAAATCCCGCCACGGGACTCCCTCCCCCCGCGGTCCGGCGCGCCTAGCGCCGGAGTTGGGAAGTTCGCCGCGCGCCCGCAGCCTGGGTCTCCAGCCCCCGCCGCCCGGCCCCACCCCCCACCCGGGAGGCTTAATTCCGGGGAGGGCATGCTAATTCGGGTCGGCCCAGCCCGGGATGGGGGGGGGGGACCCGAGGGGGGGGGGGGCGCGGGCCCGGGCGCCGGGCGCGCAGAGGCGAGGAGGCAGGCCCGCGGCGGCCGGGCCGCGGAGTCCCGGGCGGTCGCGAAGAGGGTTAACCCAGTGTCGGGCGGCGCGGCGCGCAGAGCCAGCCCCGCGGCCGGCTTATTGGGCCAGCTCGCGGAGAGACAGGGGTCTGCAGCAAATCACGAACTAATTGATTAAGGCGAGCGGGTTTGAATAGCGCTGGCCCGGTGCCAATCGCCTTTCAAAGAGCCCCTCTATGATTAATCGCAATGCATTATTGATAATCATAATTATAGCAGGACACATGCGCGCTGCGCCCGGGGCCGGGGAGCCGGGGAGGGGGCGGGCGGGCCGGCGGGCGGGGGGAGCCGCCGCCGCCGCCGCCGCTCGATTTCCGTAATTTTGAGAAGATTTTTTTTTAGTAATTTTTTATTCTGCCCCAGCTGATGTTTGAGCCAGCATGTCGCGGAGGAAGCAAGCGAAGCCTCAACATTTCCAATCCGACCCCGAAGTGGCCTCGCTCCCCCGGCGAGATGGTGAGTGCTCCGGCCCGCGCCGCGGACACACACACGCACACACACGCACTCGCACTCACACTCACGCACACCCGGACCCACGCACACGCGGCTGGTTTCCGCGCCCACCGCCCCGCCGCCGCCGCCGGGTCCCTGTTCGCCTTTCCCACTCAGCGTATT